TGGTGTGTGTGTGTGTGTGTGTGTGTGTGTGTGTGTGTGTGTGTGTGTGTGTGTTTTCTGATTAAAGATTTCTGCATGGCATGCAGGATGACTCTTGGGTTTTTAATTGTTAATGGTTAGAGACCTGTCTGTGCTCTCGCTGTAGTGTGGAGGTGTTGAATTGGTCTCTCACACACTTCAGTGAAGGTTGTGTTTGTGGAGCCGGTCACATGCTCATCTTATGGAGTACTTCTAGCTCACTTTAGTGCAGTACTGTCTGTATAATCCAGATGAACTGCTGCTGTAGAGTCTCCTGAAGCAGCTCTTTGTTTCAGATGATCAGATGTCTAACACGTGTTTATAGTGTTCGCTGAGTCCGATCAGACTGTCGAGGTGAGTCTCGGCTGTGTGCGAGACATTCCTCACATTCCTCCAGAGAAAGCTCTGCGATCACAATCAGTCTTTTTTCAGGGAGTATTCAGTCCTTTACTTGCCTTCATAAACCCACTGCTGCTTCTTAGTGCTTATAGCATAGCATCCATTCATAATATGAAAAATAATAATAATCCCACATCTAAAATCCTAAATATAAAGAAAAAACTATCATAACAGAAACCTGTTCACAGAGACTTCTTTCCGAACAATTCCTCTTGGAAACAAGGTTTGATCTGCACTTATCTTATATGACTGTGGAGCACAAAACCAGTCATAAGGGTCAATTTTTTGAAATTGAGATCTATAAATCATCTGGAAGCTGAATAAATAATCCTTCCATTGATGTATGGTTTGTTAGGATCGGACAATATTTGGCTGAGATACAACTATTTGAAAATCTGGAATCTGAGGGTGCAAAAAAATCTAAATATTGAGAAAATCATCTTTAAAGTTGTCCAAATTAAGTTCTTAGCAATGCATATCACTAATCAAAAATTAAGTTTTGATATATTTACGGTAGGAAATTTACAAAATATCTTCATGGAATATGATCTTTACTTAATATCCTAATGATTTTTGGCATAAAAGAAAAATGTCTAATTGTGACCCATACAATGTATTGTTGGCTATTGCTGCAAATATACCCCAGCGACTTAAGATGCTTTTGTGCTTCAGGGTCACATATGAGTGAACTGATTACTAGGGTTTTCGTTTGTTAATTATTGTAATAACTTAGTTACGTTAAAGCTCGTTAGGCTGCGTTCTCAAGACTAAAGCGCAAGATGGGATGTGTGTGAGTCTCGTGATTCGATGCACACTAAGATTTAGGTCATGATTCAGTGAAATGAATCGGCTGTGTCTTCATGTGTTTTGTTTTTGCTTCTAGAAAATGATGTGGATGAACACAAACAAATGAAGGACTAGAGTAGTTGAGAATGCTGAAGTATTGATTGTGACTGATTTGGCACAGCCGGTAAGGTGCACACTAGGGCTGTAAGATATGGACAAAAAAACTATCGCGATTTCGATTTTAATCACGATTTTGACACACACAGACATGCTTTACAGTCATTAATGCAATCAAAAAGCTGTAACATGTCTCTAGAACAGACATAAGGCAAAATAATCACTAAGTAAAGGTGTAACAAAATGTCTCTAGAATAGACATATGGCATGAAAAATAAACCCCATGTCCAGGGCCATGCATTGGTCATAGAGCTCTTTGTGGCGTTGCCTCAGATGTTGAACTAGATTTGTTGCGCCAGGTTCACACGTACTCCATCTGCAGTGCGTATACAGTATGTGTATGCGGTGCAGAAGCAGCACGGACTCGTTTGCAATCCGCTCCTGATCCGCGGCTGTTTACCACAAACACATTTATCCATTATTTTGATTTCAAATCCAAACGTTAGTCTATACTGTAATTGCTCAGCATTGTGATTCTCTTTTATCACAGTACAGTAATACAATCTTTCATAGACATATTCACGTTTAAACTCAAATATAAATTTGTTTAACTACCACCACGAGTGCCATCTATTATTGCCTTGTTTATCTAAAAGTGCACTTTTCCTTGTTTTAAATCTAGCCAAAAAGCCAAGTGTGGACTGTGAAACAGTAGACTTTAATTATATGCATTTATGGTGTAATTACTAAATTTCCGTGTCAATCCATGTTCATTTTTACCGCGAATAATGCGCTGTCACTAATTCAGCGCATGCAGCACAGCAGAAATAGACTCCGTGTGGAAACGATCGCAGCATGACTGCTGCAGACGCACCGCTCCTGGATTAATCGCACAGCCCTAGTGCACACAGTTGATCTCTGATCGTGTGTGTGTGTGTGTGTGTGTCACAGATGTGTGAAGAAGAACGCGGAGCTGGCCAGTGCTCAGGCCCGGCTGACAGAAGGTGAAGCTCTGCTGAACGCTAAAGAAGCGTCTCTGAACACAGCGGTGTCTGAGAGGAAGGCACTGGAGAGCACCGTCACAGACCTGCAGCTCCACATCCAGGAGGTACACCTATACCTTCACCATCATCAGTCAGACTTCAGTTTCGACTGTCCCACACGGGTGTTCACTGATCTGTGTGTGTTCCAGATAACAGGGCGAACTTACTGTCACACACTGAACTCTAGATGATTAGTTTAGTCGAGGTAAGCCGCTTCCAGAACTGTGAATGTGAGTTCAGGTGAACAAGACTTTCTCAAGAGCACTGAATACACTATACAAGTACACACTGAGCAGAAGCACAGTACAATGGTTTATCTTTATTTTTTGTTTTATAGGGAGTTACATTCTTGGTGCATATCGCCACCTAATGGGTGGTTGTGCAATCTTTTTTTTGAATCTTACAGTTTAAAGGTGCCATAGAATGGAAGACTGTTTTTACCTTGGCATAGTTGAGTAAGAGTAATGTAGTAATAATAATAATTTATGCATTTAGCAGGCTATACATTTTTTACCAGTATGTGTGTTCCCTGGGAATTGAGCCCACGACCTTTTGCGCTGCTAACACAATGCTGTACCACTGAGCCACAGGAACACTGTAAATCCGGTGCTGCAAAAGATCACTGAAAAAGAGGCGAATCCCAACATAACACCGACTGACGTTACAGTCGGGATCGTTAATGTTTACGCCCCCAACATTTGCATAACGTACACCAGTCCATGTTCTAGGCCAGCCAAATCATCGATGCAGTGCTGCCAGATATCGCTATTAAAACAAACAAAAACCGATAAATAAATACAAATAAACAGAAATTATTTCAAATCTTTTGCAATTAAGATAAAGGTATTGCTGACCCTAAACTGCAACGTCTGACTTTATTAACTTTCTAAAGTGTGAAAGACGAGTCCAAAAAGGCTTATAACAGCTGGATCTGGCAACACAGCGGCTGCGCCCGGGCCTCACTCATGACTCTCTCAAGCCTCGTTCACTCCGCCAGCGTCTCGCAGCGATCATGTTCATACCACGGACGCTAAACATTCTTGCAAAATCTCTCAAAATCTGTATCTTCGTCTGATACAGGCTCAAACATATAAGGCTGGATGCCTAATCTCTCCATCATTCGCGCCGGACAGTAGAGATCTGCTGTTTGCTGTGTGAGCCACTGAAACGAAACAGCCAATCAGAGCAGAGCTCAACATTATTATTCATGACCCTTCCAAATAAGGTAATAACAGATCGTTTCATTCTAGGGACAAATCCTAGGGTTGTAAATGGACATGTAAACCCGTTTCTGGAGATTTTTTTGCCCTTACCTAAGCCACATACCTTCTATGTAGATATCAGAGAACAATTTAAAATATTGTCAATGCATTCTATGGCACCTTTAATCTTTAATCGGTTAATATTTATTATATGTAGATATCAGAGAGGACAATTTAAAATATTGTCAATGCATTCTATGGCACCTTTAATCTTTAATCGGTTAATATTTATTACTGCACACAAGAATTACATTGTATTTTTTAAGCTAAATATATTTTAAATTGATTAATTGAGCTAAAAACTGCCAAGATTTGTCTGTATACTTTTTAAGATGAGGTGATATGGATTTTTGTAATTAAAAATGCATATTAAAAAATTACATAGTCCTGTTGTGTAAAAAAAAAAAAAAAATTGAATGCAAATCCACTTTGTGTGAGATAATAAATCACAGTAAAATAAACATTTCTTTACACATACATATACATGCATGCATATACTACCATTCAAAAGTTTGGGGTCAGTAAGACTTTTTTACAAAAATACAGAAATAAAAAAAACAGTAATCTTGCAAAATGTTAATACAATATAAAGTAATGGTTTCTATTTTAATATCCTTTAAAATATAATTTATTTCTAAAGTGTCACATTATCCTTCAGAAATCATTCTAATATGCTGATTTATTATTAGAATTATCAACAGTTCAACAAATATTTTTTTTTGGAAACTGATACTTTTTTCAGGATTCTTTGATGAATAAAAAATTTAAAAGAACAGCATTTATTCAAAATATAAATCTTTTCTAAAAATATAAATCTTTGCTATCACTTCTTAACAATTTAACATCCTCGCTGAATAACAGTTTTAATTTCTTCCAAAAAAAGAAAGAATAAAAATGTACTGACCCCAAACTTTTGAACGGTAGTGAATATTGTTAGAAAAGATTTCTATTTTAAATAAATGCACTTTTTTTTTTTACTTTTTATTCATCAAAGAATCCTGAAAAAATGTATCAACAGTTTCCAAAAAAATAAGCAGCACAACAGTTTCCAGCGCTTATAATAAATCAGCATATTAGAATGATTTCTGAAGATCATGTGACACTGAAGACTGGAGTAATGATGCTGAAAATACAGCTGCGCATCACAGAAATAAATTACAGTTTAACAGATATTCACATAGAAAAATGTTATTTTACGTAATATTTCACAATATTACCTGTATTTTTGATCAAATAAATGCAGCCTTGAGCATAAGAAACTCCTGTAAAAAACATAAAAAATTGTTCTGATCCCAAACTTTTGAACGGTTGTGTATATAATGTGTGTGTGTGTGTGTATATTTTTTTTAAAAATTTTTATTATAGCTTCATCAGTGTCACGCACGTGCGCTCCGCTCTGGAGCAGCTTTATTTAGAGCATAAGTTGCTATGATTACTTGCATACCCTGAAAGTTTGTGGGACCAAAAGTTGAGTTAATCCATAAACTAATCCACATAACCTGCTTTCTGGAATACACACTGAACACTAGACTAGCACGGTTTAATAAATGTGTAATGAAAAGCATTTAGGGTTCATATAAACATAGTCCTTTAGCATGTGAAATCAGATGGGATTTATTCTGACCGATGTAAACGCACCTGATGCGTCTCTGTTTGAGCCCGAGGAGTCTTACACCACTGAGATTCGTTTACTGGGCCAACATGAGGATCAAAAACTGACTCTTGTTGCTGACAGTCCTTACGTTTAGGCCTACTCTGTGTTAACACAAGGGGACACTTAAGGTTGTACTGAAATGGAAAAAGAAAAACCAGCCTTGAGAGCTCATGTTTTTCATCCAGAAATCAATACATGGGGCAGAACTGCTCCTGTGTGAGTTTAGCTCTTACATTTCTGCAATATGACACAGTGAAGCTATATCACCTTGAGCAAGAGTGCTGTTTTTCTCAAATATCAGCACGATTACAAATGCCAAACTGATTACACATTACTTATGTCAACAAGTTAATTGAGATAAATTTGCACGCAATATTGTCTGTTTTTGCTCTTCACACTAGTGTTTCTGAATGAATCTGCATGTTTAAACTAATATTGAGTGAACGATTCAATGAGCCATTCATAAAGATATTCCCGTGCCTCGTTTAAGAATGATTTGGCAGGTTTGAATGAATCGTTTGAATGAATGATTCACTGACTCATTAATTTCTCTATTCTTTTATTTCACGTAAATTAATGATGATGAGACCTCCGTGTCCGTCTAAATTTTGCCGTTTAGAGCTGGATGTTAGGATTGTTCTCATATTGTGACGATATAAACGATCAAGCAGCTTTGCTATATAGTAAATGTCACGTTATGCAAGTGTACTGTAGAAGCAGGCAAATATCTCCTCCTAATGGAGAAGTGAATGTCACCACAGCACCGAATGTGAAAGTCTTTGGGTCGTTCTAGCACAGACGCGTGTGAACCGAGTGTTGTTTGATGACTGGAAGCACACATGAGCCGGTCTGATGGCGTGTGTTTGTGCTTCAGCTGGAGGGAGGACTGAGCTCGGCTAAGAAGCAGCTGTCAGACGAGACTCTGTTGCGCGTGGATCTGGAGAACCGCTGCCAGAGCCTCGTGGAGGAGCTGGACTTCAGGAAGAACATGTTCCAGGAGGTCAGTCCTGTTCAGCTGCTCCAAACTAATGCCTGAAAGATTCAGATTCCTAACAAATGTTGCACCGTCGTATTAGGATTCCACACATTCTGTTGGATTTAATAGGAAAGTACATTAACGAGTCAGGATTTAATAACTAATTCTAAAGTCTCCCTGTATACCCAATTCAAATTATTTTTTATTTTTTTTAAAGTCTCTGATCAAATAGTGCAGTCTAATGCAAGTCACAGTAAAACTAATATATATATATATATATATATATATGG